GGCCTCCACACTCTTACATACCTAACCAGTAAAGGAAGAAACATATCTGATGATATGAAGAGCTTGATCATTACGTTTTACAAACTGGTCTCTATTTTTCTCTGAACATCATCATGCCAGTAAATTCATTCCCCAATTGTCATCTCTTCTGCTTTAAACAAAATACCTCAATCCTAGGACAGGCTAAAACTAAGACTAACCTGGGAGTGCCATGCCACTTCAGACTTCTAGAATGGGTCATGTGTCAGCGTTACACATAACTGATAACCTGTGCTGGTAGACCAGACAAGTGCCAAATAGGTTCTCAACAAATTCAATCGGTGGCATTAGCTGAATGGTTATCTTATTTTATTTTTTCTTTAAGGGAAGGCAAGCTTTCTTAGAATCACTTTTAGAAAGGAACTTGTAAACAAAAAAGGAATAAAGCTTATTTAAAAAAAAAAAAAAAAAAGATACTCTTCAATTGACAGAAAAATCCTAAGTCTGAGAAAAACTGTAGAAACAAATAAACCAAAACACAGAAAAGATATTTATCCTCAGGGTCTTCCCAGAGGAAGTCACCTAAACAGCCAGTATTTATTTTGTGGCTATCGGGCCTTAGGCACTATGGTTGTTCTCAAAAGGACAGACTATAAAACATAGACCCAACCCTCCCTAGTGGGTAGAGAAATGTTCATGATGACAGAGTCAACAATCAGAGTCTGAAAAGTATTTCAGAAAATTTTATCAATAAAATAAGCAAAGCAATATACAGAGGAGTTGTGTTTCTTCCTTCAGTTTTTTAAGAATATGGATATCTGTGAAGTCAGGGCTGCCTTGTTTGCAGAAGAAATGGGTCAGGAGATGCTTCCTTTCCTCTGGGTCTGTTAGAGACCCCCCCCCCCTCTTAAATTTTCCTTTCTCCTTGGTGTGTGTCCCCATCAGCAAAGACAACTGTTCACCAGCAGCCCTTCCTCAGCAATCAATGGACAGGAACTTGCCCACCTGAGCCCATCAGATGATCCCCACTCAATGTTCCTGCAGAAGGGAAAACCTAGGAATGGCCCATAAGGGGGGGTGGAGGGAGGAGATAAAAAAAATGAACAAACATCCCCAATATTATCCTTTGCCTCTTTCCCCAAAGGAATAATCCAACCCACCAGCCACTGGACAGTAGGGTAGGTAGCATGGAATGCGGCACACCAACTGCACAAACAGTAAGGTAAAGCCCCTTCCTCCTAGTTGCAGTAGGAACGATTAAAACAGCACACTACAGCACCGAAACTGGTTTGGCTCAGTGGATAGAGCGTAGGCCTGTGGACTGAAAGGTCCTGGGTTCGATTCAGGTCAAGGGCATGTACCTTGATTGCAGGCATATCCCCAGTAAGGGGTGTGCAAGAGGCAGCTGATCCATGATTCTCTCTCATTGATGTTTCTAATTCTCTATCCCTCTGTAAAAAATCAATAAAATATATATATTAAAAAAAAAAAGACAAAAAGCACCTGCATTTAAAAAAACAAACAAAAAAAAAAACAAAAACAAAAACAGCACACTACAGCCATAGGGAGCACTCCTCAGACCAGCTGGTAATAACAAAACATCCTCCTCTCTGGTAATTGCCTACTCCTTTCTGTTTGACATAATTCATCAGCCAGATTAGAGCAGGTCACTCTGCAGCGAGTGAAGAAAGCAAGGATAACATAACCTGACACATCAAAATGTTCTTATGTGGAAGAGCTGCTGTCTGCGGAACGCTGTGAGCTGGCAAAATAGCCGTATCGCCTACAGGTCAGCGGGCACACACTGTTTACTGCTACTCATTTCACTTTTGAGTAGCTCAGCACAACTGTAATTGCTAGTTAAGAGACACACTGGGTCCTGACTATTTTTTTAAACATCCCCCAAAATGACTGTGCCAGGAACCAAAATAAATAAAAATTTGGGAGGGGGGGGAAAAAAAAAGCTGAAGGGTGGAGTGGGGTGGGAGTTTGATAGCCAGGCTACTGGGCAACAAACACTGGCTGTGAAAATCCCGCAGCTACAAGAGATGGAGCCAGCCCGGCAGCTGACCGGTGTCTGATCTCCGAGCCAGCTGCCTTTCATGTGGGCTTCTCTGTGCGGTTCAGATATGAAGACATTATAACTGGACAGTTCTGGGAACTTTTTCACCCCAGCACGCAGGGCATAGAAACCGGCCTCAGCACCCTTTCTTGTCCAAGTTCCAAAAGGGCAGCAACTGGGATGCACTGTTAAATGTTGGCATTGGTTTTCTTTCCAAGAGACAACTTTTCTCCTAGTAAAATGTTAAAAACCCTTCCCCCACTCCAATCCTACTAGAGGAGAAAAAAAAAAGCACATCAAAGCGCTAAAATTATTATGCATTTTTTTTTGTCTTTGTCTCTTGACGCCCTGGTTTTCTTGACTGTTCTTTAGTCTCTCACTGCTCCAGGGCCCCAATTTAGGAATAAAAAACTAAAAAAAAAAAAAAAAAAAAAAAAAAAAAAAAAAAAGCAGGAGCAGTTGGCTTTGTGCATTTTCCAGGATTCTGCAGAATTCCCATTTCCCCATGGCTTTTCCCTCTTCCTCTCTATCCCCTTCCTTCGTTTCCTTGTCAGATTCAAATCAAGTCACAGTCCAAAACATCGTTCAGGCATTTGATACACGCTAAGAGAACTTCAGTGCCTCGTAGTGGAAGCGAAGTACAGGATAGATCATGAAACGTGGGGGCACCTCAGTCCTCAATTCCTAGATGGCAGGCTCCTCCTTTTCACCACCTTGGACGTGCCTTCTGAATAGGAAGGCAACGTGGTCTGCAGTCTTTGGGGTTGGCTCCCAGTCCCTCTGCATCTATTTTAGCTGGACCCCAGATACAATCAGACCATCTAATCCTAGCGACAAAGCCAGGAGCACAAATCCACCCTGCTCCTCCCCCGCCCCCTTCCTCCCAGGGCCTCCAACCAAGCAGTGGGGCCAGAAAATTAATACATCCATCCAGGAGGCTCAAAGCGGTGGAATACAAGTGGCTGGGGGGAGGGGGAGGGGTGGATTTCCTTGTATTTTGTTTGTGTATTTTTTTTAAGCGTGAACCCAAGCTGGACAAGCCCCCTAGACGCATTGCACAGCCCTAAGCACCGGCCAGACAACCCTCCCCCCCCCCCTCCCCTCCCATCTGGCTGCAGCCCGCGCGAGGGGGGGAGGTTTGCGCGGGTCTGTCTGACACTTGTAAATGGAAGTGGGTTCCAACTTGGAAAACAAACGCGCTGGAGTCTGGGGCGGACAGAAAAGGGGGGTGGGGGAGGGAGAAGAGAGGAGGAGGAGGAAAGACCCTTCCCCCCCCCACAGTAGCGTGGCCGCCTGGGCTGCAGCAGGTTCGCCCAAACTAGGAGCGGAGACTCAGAGGGCGAAAGGGAGCTCCAGCCAAGCGCCGGGGAGTCAGCCAGAAGCCTCCAGCTCCGCCACCGACCGCCCACGCTCCTGGATGCAGGCGCCTCTCTTCTCCTCTCCCCTCCATCCCCCTCATGCCCCATGGCTACCTCTGCATCCTCCCTCCAGCCTCCCATTCTTCCAGGGACCGCTTCCACTGCCCGGTGTGCCCATACGATGACCAGGAGTTAGCTGCAGCTGCAGGAGGCTGACACCACCGCCACCCCACACACACGCACAACCCCCGGGAGCGCCACCCTTTCCTAGGAGGCTACCCCAGAGGCCCCCTTAGCTCACAGCCAGACTCCCGCCACATCCCCGCTCCAAGCCCACGCCAGCCCGAGAAAGCCGGGAAGAGGAAAGTGGACAGTCAAGTTGTTTTCCGCAAAGCCCGATGCTGATCCATGGCTAGCCATCTCTGAAAGTACACGCGGCGGCAAAAGTCAGCGGAACCGGGGAGGAAGGAATACAGCCCACAGCGCTGCTGCTAAAAATACCCGAGCTCGCCGCCTCGCGCCGGCCGGCCGGGGACCAGATGCACTTTAGCTCAGCGCCCCCCACTGGCGGGAGCCCGCGCGCACCGCCCGCAGCGCACCCCGCCGGGTCCCGGCCGCGACGGCCGCCTCCTCCCCGGGCCCCGCAGACCCCCACCTCGGCCCCGCACTAACCCTGGTCCGGGCGAAGGCGTCCACCCAGAAGCTCCTGTGCAGGGGGTTCCGAGTGCGGAGCTGGCACGCCCTCTCGTCCCCAGCCCCCCGACCCAAAGATGGCTGCAGTGCATGCACCCCTAGGACAGGCAGGCCCGCTCAGCTTCCTTCCTTGTCAAAGAGAAGCAACCTTCCCCCTCGCCCGCCAAAAATCATGCACTCTTCCGGGGCACTCGGTTTCCCAGTCCCTGCCCAGAGAGCAGGAAAGGTCCCTCTTCCAGCCAGTGCTTTAAAAAATAAAATAATTAAAAATAATAATAATAAAAGGCTGTCGCTCCAGTTCGAGATCCCCTGCACATCGGTCCATCTCACCCGGCTCCCGAACCCGCAAGCCGGAATGGAGCGTGGCGCCAGCCGACCCACAGCCCGGGAACTCCTTCCCCTCCCTGGTGGTTAAAGGCATCTGGGCTCCCTGCTCCGTCCGACGCTGGCCAAGCTACCACCCAAACTCGTGCCCTTCCAGTGCATCCATCCACATCAGAACAGCCCTCCTGCACCTGACCGGCACGGGCTACCGGCAGGCCCGCCGCCTGGACCCGCTCATCCACCTGCCCCGGCGGCCCGGACCTGGAGGGGGCGGGGAGCAGTGCACCGACCCGCAAGCCCCTCTGGCTTCCTCCCTAAGCAAGTCCTCCGTCCCAAACTTGGCCAACTCTCCGTGCCAACCTCCCTCCCGGCTACCCCCGCAGGACAGAACCTCTTTCTCCCCTTCTCGGAGCCACGCCGAGACGCGAACTTTGCAAGGTGAAAAGTTTCCCCCACGCGTTCCGCCGGCTCTCGCCTCCCCGAGCCCACCTCGCAGCCCTTTGGCGCCCGTGGTTGGTTCGGTAGCGCGCTCCAGCCGGTGCAAAGGGCAGCCCCCCCAAAATCACATTATAAACCCCACGCACCCTTGCCTCCGCCGGCGATCCACGGCTCCTGCAGGCGCTTCCCCCGTGGTCTTCCTCTCTCTCCCGGCGGCGCTCCAGCCCGGGGCGAGCTGGCCACTCCGCCGCCGCTCCGCTGCCGCCGCCGAGCTCCCCGCGCGCTCGCCGGCACCGGAGCCCCAAGCGGAGGCTCTGGGTGCTCCGCGCTCTGGATACCGGCTGCCGGCACGCAGACGGAGGAGGGTAGCCGGGAGGAGGAGAACAGCAGCGGACGGAGGGGGAAGGGGGCGCGGGATTCCAATGTGCAGCCCCGATCACAGCGCAGCCTGCCGGGAGGAGCGCCTACTCTCGGGCTGGCTCCGAGCTGCCGCCGCCGCTACTGCTCGCCGCCTCGCTGCTCCCAGCTCCCCATCACAGCCGCCGCCGACGCGCAGCGAGCCCCCCTCTCTCTCTCTCTCCTCTCCCCCTCTCGCTGTCTCCTCCTCCCAAACCGCGAGAGAAAGGGGCGAGGGGGAGAGAAGCTCCTGCGTCCCGGCTGGCTGGCGATGTCTGAGCGAGCGCGGCGCACGGGAGAGGGGGCGGGCGGGCGGGGAGAGGTGGGTGGTTGTGGGGGAGGCACGCAGAGCTGGAGGGCGCTCCCGGCGCCGGGCCTGCGGCGCTGGACTAATTTTAGAGCTCCGGTCTCCCTCCACCCTTCTCTCAGGGCTCGGGGATCACACCAACGTGCTTCCCTGCGGCGCGCAAAGTGAAGTGCCGGCCTCAGAGAGCGCACGCACAGGCTGCTGGCAGTGCGGGCAGTCCCCGCAGTCCCCGCTGCCCCGCAGCCCCGCGCAGAGGTCCAGCACGTGTCACTCTCCCGGGATGGCGGCGAAGAAACTGAGGCACATCAAGGTGAAAATGGCTTCTCTTGAGATCCCAAGGTTAGTGTGTAGTGTGGAGATAAAAAACCTCCAAATGTGTGCCTTGGTTCCAAATGTGCTACACAGGCAGGGCTCCTGCTACTTTGTCCACTGGACAACCATAGGAGAAGGGAGGAGTATGAACTAAAGGGTAAGGTGGCCGGTTCTCTTCCCTCCTTTCCTGCCCACCAATAGTTTCAAACATTTTTGTGGAACTGGGGGCACTCTGAAGAGAATGGGTGAGTGATTTGGGACCTGATGATTTGCAACTCAACCTGCGAGTAGGACTACTGTTCCAGTACCTTCTGCATCCACCACTACCAACACACACACACACACACACACACACACACACACACACACCCTACCTGCAACAGAGGCTATATTTGTCTCCTCAATTCTTTACCTCCCCACCCCAGTCCCTCTCTGTGTACCCTCACTCTTCCACTTTTTTTTTTTTTACTTCCCCTCAAAGCAGAGAGGCAGTCTTACACCCCCACCCCCACACCAGTTTCCATCCCCACTCCCAGCGCCCGCCACACAGAGCAATGCGCAGATCTCCCAGGTAAGCCAACCTAAAATGTGCCCATTGTCTGGGATACTGTCTCCTAAACTGTTTCTCCCCCAGCTCAACCTTTGTTACAGGGGGAGAGGCGCATAAGGGCCTGCAGATCTATTCTCCAGAAGAAATTTTTACTTTTTTTTGAACCATGAAATTCTCTTTGGGGAGCTAGGTAGGGGTTGCTATTAGGGGACTTGAATCTCAGCCACTAGAAGGAGCCATTTGAAGATCCAATTCAGTTTACCATTCTGTTTTTCCAGCTCCCAGTCTGGGGTCTATATATATATATATATATATATATATATATATATATATATATAATTTTTTACAGAGAGGAAGGGAGAGGGATAGAGAGTTAAAAACATCGATGAGAAACATCGCTCAGCTGCCTCCTGCACACTCCCCACTGGGGATATGCTTGCAACCAAGGTACATGGCCTTGACCAGAATTGAACCTGGGACCTTTCAGTTTGAAAACTGAAGACTCATGCTGTATCCACTGAGCTAAACCAGTTAGGGCCAGGGCCGCCTCCTTGTCACGGCTACCCAATGGCCCCCTACTCTTCACAGGTGGAAAGTTTCCCTTGAAAGCCTCTAGCATCTTTGCAGCCTTGACTGTTCCATAAGCCATGACGTGCTCTGGTCACTGTGAGAGTTTAATGTGAATACTAAAGGACAGTGACAGCTCCACATACAGCAGCTAATCCGGAGATAATCAGCATGTTATGTAGGGCTGCATTGCCCCATGGGCCAGAGCATGGGTCTGGAATGAGGGAAGCCACTAACAGCGCTAGGAAGACTGACTTGCCCTCCAAACTGTTCTAATGTGAATAGTTTTATTTTCATCTTTGTATCAGCAGCTTTCTAGGGCATTGAAAAGTTTATTACCATATAAATATGTCCCTAGCATGGCATTTTTTCTTGTGACCAATGGAACACAGCTAACCGCATCAAAGATTTTAATGAACCAATATATTTCCCACCTGTGTGTTTCTGTGGAAGTACTGAAATAAGTTGGTTCCAGAAACCAACTACATGTGGTGGTGGTATGGCCAATGGGATGCTCTGGGAGGGAGTGCTGGCAAGGAAATCAGGCATCTTCCACCTTTTGCCTGGGAAGACTGCCAGAGCGTGTAGGTGTGGCCGTTGCTGCTGCTACTGTTGGTGATGCTCTGATTCCTACTCTTAGAAGGTTCTGTTATGCCTCAAAGGTACATACTGATAAGTACAAAAAAAATCTCTCTAAATCTCAGCCCCCTATGTCCCTAGGCAGTAAGTAGAGAATAAATAGTCTTTACTCAAAGGGCAGGCACAAGCCATGATAGCCCGTGGGTAAAAGACTTTCTGCAAGAATGATATTGTGGCTTATCTAACAGAGCACCCTTCAGGCCCTTTAAGGTGTGCATAGCCCTTAATCCTCATTTAATACTGATTGTATCAGAAGACTACTTCATTATATTTAAAAGCGCCTATTGTGTGCTAGTAAGCAGATGACACACTAAGCTTTACGATATCAGAGAGTCTGTTTCTCAGGTGGGGTGGCAAAAAAGTAGGTTTACAGTTTGCAGAGAAAATAATAGAATGATTAATAAATAACAATACAAAGAACAAACACTTTCCCATACTCACAACTGTAGACCTCCTTATGCCACACTCCACATTCACTTTTCTATCCACAGTTCCCTTCATATTGCTTGGCACACGTAATGACTATTAGTCACTGCTCAATACATGTTCAGAGAATATTCAGATGATGAAAGCTTGAAGTGGAAGTTCTTTTAGGAAAGGAGGCCCAAAAAATGAAAGACTGTGAACCTGTAAGAATATAATGTGACTTGCTGTGTTACATGCACCGATTTCCTTGCCAGCACGCTTTCCCTCAGTACCCCATGCACCACTTGAACTCCTCTGAGCCTCACCTGTGTCTTTCAGCCTCTGCTGGGATAACCAGTTCTCAGTGGCTCCGGCCAGCTTCACACAGGTGCAGTCTGACAGTGCCTTGCTTTAGGCCTCTCTTAACACCTCTCCTCCTACCCACAGACGTCTCTGTTAAAGTTTCAGGGTAGACTGAAATCCAGAAAGAAGCAGGAGAGATTAAACGCACTGTGGTCAATCTTTGATCAATGGGAGATGAGAGGCCACTAATAAATGCTCCCCTTTCAGGCCTCCAACAAAGGATGCTGAAAAGTGTTACATACAGCTCCTCAGGTGGTCTTACTGAGTGAAGCAGCCAGCAGCCAGAAGCAGGGGCCAGCTTGAGAGCACATTCAGGTACTGCCTCTCCTTCTACTGCTGGACCCCCTCCCCCTGTCCCTCACAGGCTCCCTAAAATTATACTCCCCAAAAATGTACTTTCCATGAGTCCTTACTGCAGGCTCTGTTTTCTGACAATTTCAGAAAATATCCACCTTTATCCTAAATGTTCACATCAAGAATAGTCAAATGATTTTTCAAAGTGCTCTATAGCATATACATATGTAAACACACACACACACACACACACACACACACACACACACATTACACATTACAGATCTGTTCTTATCAATCCCGTTCAGTTTATTTGTGTTTTATAAATCAGGAAGGACTGTGTGTAGAGTGACATTTGAGTCAGTGCCTATCTTATTGTTAAGCTGTCCATAAAGTACTCAATAATGGAAGAATTTCTTACCACAATGAGCTATTGAGGAGAGTGGTAGAATTTCCTTCCCTGGAAGTACTGAATCAATGGATAGATGTTTATCAACTTGGGATGGGAGTGGATCTGTCAAGAAACTATGGTAATAGGATTTTTCTTGGAAACAGATAAAATCAGGCTGTATTATGTCAGACTCAGTAGAGGTTGGCCGTTAAGTGAGCAGGCCCCGGAAGCAGGCAAACTGACTGAGTTAGAATCCTCACTTTCCACTTTCAAGCTGTGAGATCTTGGATACGTTTCCTAATTTCCCTAGGTCTTAAGTTACTTCATATGTAAGGTAGGACCTATAATAGTGTCTATCTGATAAGATTATTTTAAGAGTAAATGAAGTAATTCATAAAAACATGTACTCAACATATGATAAGCACCCAACAAATTTTAGCTATTATCCTTTTGGAAATAAATTATGAAGTAATTATTTAATTTCACCTGAGCTTAAAGTCAATGCCAGAAGCCAGAACAAAGTTCAGACTCTACTACTGTAGCAGGCAGTTAGGTAGGCATGAGCAGGGCAGGAAGGATGGGCCAGAAACTGAGGGTCACCAGGGTCAGGGCCTGGGTGCCTAGCAATGGGCAAAACTACAAGCCCTCACTCCACTGCTCCCTTAAGCATTAACCTCTGGAGATGACATATCGGTCTCAGCTGTATTTTAGCTGCAAACCCAGAAAAGCAGCAAAACTAGGCAGAGTGGAGGGCCAGCTGTATCCACTAATGACCCCCGCCCCTGGTGCCAACCAATCAGTAGAGACCAGGAGGGGCACACCTGGAAAGCTGGTGAATGTTCTATTGAGGTCCTCCCCCGAGACTGCAGATAAAAGCCCCCAGAATGGAAGACCCTGTGGGGCTCTCTATGGAAAATGACCCCTGCCTTTCCCCACCCAGGGGTTAATGCTTCTTTTCCCAAGAGGTCTCTCTCTCTCTCCCTCCCTCCCTCCCTCCCTCCCTCCTTCTCTTCTCTCTCTCCTCTCTCTCCTCTCTCTCCTCTCTCTCTTCTTTCTGCTCTCTTTCCTCTCTCTCCTCTCTCTTCTCTCTCTTCTCTCTCTCCTCTCTCTCTCTCCCTCTCCCTCCCTCCCCTGAAGTACTCAGGCACCAGACACCAACTCCCTCTTTAGTTACTTAAAGCCATTTATCTCTCTCTCCTAGTCCTAAGCCCTATCTCTGTAATGTTCTAAATAAACTTGCCCTTGTAATTTGAGTTTCTGGGCTCTGAATTCTTCTCTTAGCCAGAGCACAAGTACCCAGGTTGCTGAACTGAGGGCCACCTAACTCATTGCTAAAAACTGCCTGGTGCTGTTTTTCTGCCTCTAACATTACTTATCATCTTCCGTGCTAAAATTCTGATTCCAACTCCTAGT